ATTCATATCCACCATTAAAAGTCTTATTTGCTTTAGCTCTCCATTCATTTGTCTTCCGCTTATTTTAACAAGTGATTCAAAGTTAGTCCATTCGTTTTCGCCATTCTCATTTCTTTTCATTTTTCACTAATGTCAACGAGGGACCCAACCAGCCTCCGGATACCTGTAACTACCGTGTTTGCCACCCACATGCCTGAGACCTTCAGGCATTCTACTGTTCAAAGCAGGACAACTGCCAAGTTTCAAAGAAACTGTGGAAAGGATCCTTGTTTTTGAGGCAATTTCAAAAAGGCACACATCCCTTAAGATCCCCTTTCAATATGAAATCCAGTTACATTTCTCCTATGTACAACTTTTGTGGTTATTAAGATGAAATGTTTAGGCTTTCTACTCCCACTCCAAAGAACCAGCTGTGTCAAATTTGAGGGAGAGAGAGAACACCGTGTCACCATTTGGTAGACATCAATTTTTTGTCTGTCCATTTCAACTACTATTCCTCTTCCCAGTCCCTTTATCCTTTCTCTTACTTGTGCTGTAGTTACACCTGTAATTACCTCAATTACATCCTAATAGAAACAGTGAAGAAAGGACTTGTTTTATTTTCATTTGGAACTCCTTTGATTTGATTCCTGTTCAAACTAATTCATTTCATTTTTTTTATTTTGTCCTTTTTCATAACAAGTGCACACTCTTCATATATTTTAATATCTGTTGCCCCCTTGAAGCCACTTATGGCAATGAGGTATGAGGATGGTGATGATGATGATGATGATGATGATGATGATGATGATGATAATAATAATAATAATAATAATAATAATAATAGTGCTGGTTATTTTTGGCATCCATCTGTCTTAAGAAAATAGAGTGCACCTGTGGAGATAAAGTCAAACTGCTGCAATAGTAGCACCAAAGTTACCTCCCCAGGATGCAAGTCTGAGCAGTGTGTATGGAGGTCCTGGGCTGCCCAGACTACAAGACCCCACTCCTCTCAGCCTCAATAATGTTGTCCAGAGTACCAGTCTGGCTGCAAAAGTTGCGAGAAAGAGGCATACAAGGTGCCATCTTAGGTGCCATCTTAGGTAGGAGTTGCATAGAGTTGTATAGAGTTTACTCCTTAGCTTCTTCTCCTGAATATACCCCACAAGGCAGAGGAGGTTTAGGGCCAGTTTTCCTTCTCCTAGATGGGCTCCCTTCCCAGGTTGATGAGCCCCATCTGCCCCTCACTTCCCTATACAGCATGTGCAGAAACTGCCTTCTGGACTGTTGGACTTACTATTGCTCTCATCCACTCAATCTGCCAGAGCCGATCTCGTCATTCAGGGGAAGTCCCTAACTTACCAATTATTTTTATTATGATTGTATTATTTATTAAATTTGTATACCACCCTATACCCGCATGTCTCAGGATGGTTACAATATGAAAGCACAGTATAAAAACACACAATACATAATAAAAACAAAAACAACCCAATGAAACAACCAAAGGTTTGAGACCCGTTGGCTACCCCCATCTGGTTTAGCCGACCAATCAAAGCAGTTTGTGTAGTGTGGCTGCTGTTGCATGCTGACAGCTTCGAGGAGCCGCAGGTGAGACCACGGTGTGTCCCCCACCACAGGTGATTCCCCTCTCTAAATACCACATACACTAACAACAACAACAACAACAACATACACTCCCACATGCAGGAAATGTATTATAGAAGGTCTGTGGTTTGTCTCTGATAGTTTGTGTTGGGTAATTGCTGGCATATTACAAGGGAATGTGAAATGCATTAATGGTTGTAAACTATACTTTATTCAACATCTCCGGGCAGTCATTTTACAAACCACTTTCTGAAGATTTTCTTCTTCTTGCAAAGTGTGCTATTCATCTTTTCAATCAATCAATTATAAGCACAATTCAGGGGGGAAACCCAGTTAAGTTTTTCAGAAATGAAAAAGCAAAGATGTGAGGAGGGGGAGGGAAAAAAAACCTAAGCGAGGGTATCCCCAAAGCATCTGAATGAGAATTGAGGATGCTGAGTAGCTGCAGACTGCTGTCTGACAGTTGAGTGGTGGTGAGGGTGGGAGGATCTAGGAAGGGTCAAGGAGTGGCGTATTTGGGAAGAGAGCGGAGCTCCAAACACTCCAGATTGCAACATTTAGTTGCAGGTCCCCACATTATTCTACTATCTGAATTAAAACAAGCATAACTTCTAATCCTACTCAGAGTAGACCCATTAAAGTTAATGGACACATCTAATTTGGGACCATTAATTTCAATGGATCTACTCTTCTAGTTGGATATTTCCCAGTGTCTTTCAGTGCGGGGGGGTGGGGTGGCAATTTGATAACGAACAGCAGCTAAATTCTCATTGCCTGCTCCCAGACTTTGGAATTCCCTTCCTGGAGAAGCTAGACAGGCCCCCTCTATGTGGTCCTTCTGTTGGCAAGTGAAGACCTTCTTCTTCCAACAGACTTTTGGGAACTCACAGCTCTTTTTACTGTAATCATTTGAATGCTTTAAACAGATTTTATAAATAAATACAGTTTTAATTATATGAATGTTTGGTTTTTTATTGTTTTTTTCTATGGTTTTAGTGATTCTTGCTTTTATATGTAAGCTGCTTTGAGTCCCATCAGGAGGAAAGGCAGGGTATAAATAAATGTATAATAATCATCATGAATTAAATTAAATGAATTAAATATTGCACAGCACATGCACCTAGTCTTCCTGTGGCAAAAACCCTCAAATGCATCACATGTTTCAATCTACATTGTTGGGGAAAAGGCTAATCATGTTTTGTGTCCCCCTCCGCCACAGCTGCCTTTTAAATTGCTAAACAAAGAGACACATTCATTGCTACCGCACAAAAACACCAGTATTATTTGGTCCTAATTTGTCAGAGCAACTTCTGCCAAAGTGAGAAACTCATCAGTCAAGATTTATGACAAGATAAATGCTTTCCATTTTGTATAGACCACAGTAACAACATTTCTCTTTGGACTTTGTGAAAGGAAAACCATTTGCAATGAATAACCTTTTCGCACTTCAGGCTGAATCCGAAACGTTGCAGTGCTTTCTTTTAAAAAGAAGCTCTTGTTAAAGCACCTACAGGAGTAATCTCAACATTGTTAGCTATAGGATTACTGCAGGTGTGTGAAGTAAGGCAGACACAAAATGGGGAAGGGGTGAATTACACACACACACACACACACACACACACACACACACACACACGAGTCCCCTCATATTTGGGGATGAAATATTACCCTCACACTGACTTGGCTTAGTGGCATCATCCTGTATCCATATCCGATAGGCTACATAGCAGCCTCAGAAAGCCTTTTGAGAGTAAAGATAGTTTTCCCTTGTCCACTATCTGATTTAACTTCATGATAACATGCATTTCCCTGATTGGATGGGGTTACTGGAGGCAGAAGTCCACATTTGCCTGTTTTTAAAAATAAAAATGGCTCCAAAGCTGCAAATTAGAGGCAGAAGCAGGTATACCCAGGGAGTAAACCAGGTGCAATAAAGAAGGTTAACCGGAATGACTTGAAGCTTCACATGCGTAACATTCTTCTTCCTAGTTTTTTCTTAAATGAGTGAAAATTTGGCACGTTTCATACATTCTCATCACACTATAGCTACCTCACCCCTTGACACCACACAGACAACACTGAGATAGGATCTGGTGAAAATCAGCTTCCTATGTCCCTAACTTGGGGTGTTGTTATACAGATGAAACTTACTGGCTAAACAGAATCAACAATGGCAAAAAAGTTAGGTGGACGACTCTATTGAAACACTGCCAGCTGTTGGCTATAGGTAGCATCTCCATAGCTCAGTGCTTTGCACACCAAAGGTCCCATGTTCAATCCTTAGCATCTCCAGGTAGGAACGGAAATGTATCCGTTCTGAAACCCTGGAGATCAGGTACTGTCAGTCAGGGAATACAGTGCTACTGAGGGAGATGGACCAAAGGTCTGACTTGGTATAATGCAGCTTCCATTGTCCCTATATTCCTAACTACATGCAACGAGAAGGGGGCAAATGAGGTGGCAGTTGCCAAAAAAAGATGGTAGCCCTGTGCTCTGCTTATCCCATGGTAGCACGTATGCATTGGCCCTTGTACCTGAAAGCATTATACATTGTGTCTCCACATCCCTGCTTGGTTAGTGGATATAGGAAACCACCAGGTATAAATGGCATCAAAATATGAGCAAGTTGAACTCTGCATTCGAAAAAGGGCAGGTGGAGAAAACTCTCCATACGGCCATTTATGTAGATCTGTCACTCTTTGTCATATTAAGAACCACTGTTCTCTGATGCATGTTTCTTTGTGTGCCACCATTTTGCCCTGTATTCCTGGTGTCATATAGGAGGATGCTAGGAAAGGTCTCCTTGCCCAGTTGCTTCCCACTCAGAAACCAAATTCTGCCCACCTAGTTGCATTTATCATCCATTAACAACAACAAAAACAACAAGAAGAAGTTGGATTGCCACTGTAGCCATTTGGATTGTCGGCCGAAGAAGCACACTGCTTCTTAACAGCTTCTTGGCACATTTTATTAAAAAAAACCTTTGAGAGAACCTTTTATTCTTTGACATTTTATATATTATTTTCCCATTTATTTTCTACTTATGTCCATCACACTTTTGGGAACCACCTAAGGCTTCCTTAAGGGGGTAAGGTGGGGACCAGGTCCCTTAAGTTGAAAACACACCTATTCTGCAGCCATGGCTGCACATTTGCTTTGCATTCAATCTCGTAAAGCTAATTATAGCCATTTCCCCCCCCTTCCTCCTTTTCATTTGTAAACTGAACCCATTTCCCCAGAGGATATTGCGTCCATAACGTGCTGAGTCAGTTCATTTCCAGTGTAATTGGATAGAGTGGAATGTTTGATTGCATTCATTTTGCAATTCCTTTCCATTTCTTTTTTAACCTCTGGGGTTGCTTTGGTTTTCTTTTATTAATCCTCAGCTCTGCTTTCTTTTCTTTTCTTTTTAGTTACGGACGACTTTATGCTGCAGACCCCTACCACCACACACTTGCTCCAGCAACCACCTACGGCGTTGGTGCCGTGGTAAGTGCTGATTTATCTACTCCCCTCCCCCTTCCCTGCCTCCCAGTCTGCCCCGAACCTCCCCTCCTCCTCTCCTCTCCCCAGTTCTTAGCATGGTTGACATCTTCTCACTTTTCCTTAATTGAATTTGTCTCTTCTGCTAACGGCAGCTAAAATGCCACATTAATCCTTCCCGGTAAACTTGACAAATGTCTTAATTTCTTGGCAATGTAGCACACATAAGGATATATATATATATATATATCTCCTAGGTGAGCACTTACCTTAATGGAACAATTAGTCATTTTGATAATTAAATACATCACAAATTGAACGCCTTCACAGTAGCCTCCATTCTTTTTCTTTTCTTTTCTTTATTCCCCCCCAACCCCCAATCTTTTGCCTTGAATTTACATTGCCTGAAGGTTCAAGTCACACCAGTGATTATAAGTATAAAGAGCTGAAACTGAGATTTCCCGGCCTCTGCTGTCAGTCAGCCTGAATCCCTGCTATTTTCTCTCCCTTATTATTAGAGTTAATATTTAAAATTATAGCTGTACTGAAAAGAGTAGAGGATAGGAGAGTATTCAGCAGTCCTCTCCAGTTGTTGCATAAAGTTAACCAGGCGCGTACACACACACACCCTCCACAGGAAGGGTGATTTATGTGAAACTGAAATGTACACATAAAAAGACCCCATGGGGACATTTTGTTGGGCAATACTGGCCTTTTGCATTAGGAGAAAATAACCCTCCCGGGGCGTTATGTGGGACCATGTTTATCTTAAATTAAGATAATCAGGGCAATCAAGCAAAATGTTAGTCACAACCAATGGAAAAGCAGCAAAATGAAAATTAACTGCAGAAAACTGTGAGTCCATTTGATTTAATCAAGACTGATTCACACCCAACTTTTGATGTATCTGTGCCCAATATTAATACATACCCTTCCCTTCCACTCTGCAGTATAGTCTACTCATAATCCAGAATGTAGATGGACTCACCCCCATTTTAGGGACGTGTTGCAGAGCAGGCAGGGCGGAAAGGGAAGGACACAACAGCTACACACACTTTGATCCCAGCCTCACCCTCGCAAGCATACATTACTGTTGTTCACGTAACGCTTTCAGGATGTGCAAATTAGGAAGTTTTACACTGAAATGTGAACTGAATTGAATTTCTTCTACAACTCTTATGCTGTTGGTCTTCAACTCCTGGCAGCCCCAGAAGCCAGCATGAACAATGGTCAGGGGTTATGGGATTTGTAGTACAACAACATCATCATCTGGAAGGGCATTCCCCCTTTTCTGGCTTAAAGAGAGTGTGTATCTTTGAACAGGGAACATGAGGCACAATGGATCCAGTTGCAGATGATACAAATGTGTGTTGCCAAATTGTACATGCAGCAGGGTATGCAAATATGTTCTCTGAATGTGTGATATCCACGTACAGATGATGGATAAAATACAAGATGAAAAATAAAAAATGACAGTCTTTTGCATCTCTCTAGCAATTGTTCACAACTTTCCCAAAGAATTTTTTCTCCAGGAGTGTGAAAGTAATGTAATTGGATGGAAACCCAGACATCTTGTAATCACGCCAAGGTCTCTCGATCTGGTTGAGTCTAAATTTATATCACCTAAATTTATTTTCACCCAGCTTTTTGTTTTTAAATGGATGTACCTTCATGTAGCATGAACTACTTGTGTTTACTATGCAGAAGAGACCCTAAAATATACTGGGGTTTGGGGTTCTCGTTTTTTGCCACAGTTTTTGGAGACAGTAATGTTTCTGAATACCAGCTGTTGGAAACTGCAGGAGGAGAGAATCCTCTTTTGCTTGGGTGCTGCATGCAGGTTTCCTACAGGCTTCTTGTTGGCCATCGTGAGAACAGGATGCTGGACTAGATGGGCCACTGGCCTGATCCTGCAGGGATCTCCTTATGTTCTTTCCAATCACTTGGTATCAAATGGGCAACATTAATTTTATTATTATTGTTATTATTTATAATTTTGCGGAGATTAAAGATGCAGAACCTACGCGAGAAAGATTTGTTCTGGTTTCCATTTCTCCAGTGTTTCACATGAAGAACAACCCCCCAAATTAGCTTCCGTTTTTTACTTTAGGTGGAATATGACAGTTTCTACTTCCCACTAGCCCTGGGCTTCCAATAGTACAGTGGTACCTCGGGTTAAGTACTTAATTCGTTCCAGAGGTCCGTTCTTAACCTGAAACTGTTCTTAACCTGAAGCACCACTTTAGCTAATGGGGCCTCCTGCTGCTGCCGCTGCGCCGCCGTAGCATGATTTCTGTTCTTACCCTGAAGCAAAGTTCTTAACCTGAAGCACTATTTCTGGGTTAGCGGAGTCTGTAACCTGAAGCATATGTAACCTGAAGCGTATGTAACCCAAGGTACCACTGTACATCATGCACTAGTGACAGTCACATGCGCAGCTCGGTAGTAGAGCACATGCTCTAAATATAAAAGGTCCCAGGTTGAACATCTGGCATCTTAAGGTATAACTGGGAAAGACTTGCTTTCTTTCAGACCCCATGGAGAGCCATTGCTGCTCAGTGTAGATAGCACTAAGCTAAACAGCTAGCTTAGTGTTGGTGGTTTCCTAGGTTCTTTATCCCTCTCCCAATAAATTTCTCTTATCTTATTAAAATTATTATTATGATGATCTTAAAATCTTTCAGATGATTTGCTTAAGCAGAAGCCAACAACTTGTACTCAGTGCAGAATGTTGTCTTTAGAGGCCAGTCATCAAAATGGGATGAGATGGAGTGGGATGAGGGATTTGTTCTACCATTAGGCAATCAGCACTCTCCCATCTGATCCTTCTATCCCCCGCTTCTCTGCCCAGCTACTGCACTGGGGTTTTTTCTAGACCCTGTAATCTGGCTTGCTTTCTCAGGTGCAGTGGAGAACCCTATCCCATCAACAGTGCTGAAGTAAGTTTTAATTTCCAGTCCAGTTTGCTTCTGTACTTGGAATAGGGAAGGAGCACTGTCACCCTTGGGCTGCAAGATGTATTGGGCTGGCCCTGGGTGAGATGACACCCTATTTCATTTCAATGAATGCAAAACTATCGCAGGGCACTGTGTGCTTGCGCACACACACCATTCCTATTTCTAGGCATACTTTTATGGACTTTCCCTTTGAAGCCCACTGGAAGCGGGAATGGGACAAACTCAGGTCTGTTCCCATGCACAGCTTGGATGGACCAGGCTGTCATGGGTCTATCTATCCCCACTGGGAGCGCGGCTGTATTGATTTCATTTGGGAAAGGTCTATATCTCAGAGGAAGAACATCTGCTTTGTATGCAGAAGGTTCCAGGTTCAACAGATAGCATCTCCAAACAGTGATTGCTGTCTCAGAGGAAACAATTCAGGTGCTCGGGGGTTTCCTAACCCTAATTGTTGTTTTTTATTTGGAATATTTACGCTGTCTTTCCTCTGCAAAATTTCCTACTGATACTTTATTGGAGGGTGTTAAGGAATGAGTAACAGGTTGAGGTGAAATCGGAGTGTCCTGCTTGGCAAAACTGTTGTGTTTTGAGGTAAATGCAAAAAAAAAATATGTTTCAATAATCAAGAGCAAAATTTCCTACAATGCGTTTTATAGATGCCTATGAAAAGTCATTTGAGGTTTGGGCAATTACCAAAAAATATATTCATGTATATATTTGGGTATAATTTGTGAACGAAGCAGGAACTTAGGAGGCCTTACACCAAGTCAGATAATGGGTCTATCTAGCTCTGTACAGTGGTACCTTGGTTCTCAAACTTAATCCATTCTGGAAGACCGCTCCAAAACCAAAGCGTTCCAAAACCAAGGTGCGCTTTCCCATAGAAAGCAATGCAAATTGGATTGATCCATTCCAGACTTTTAAAAACAACCCCTAAAGCAGCAACTTAACATGAATTTTACTATCTAACGAGACCACTGATCCATAAAATGAAAGCAATAATCAAGGTACTGTACTATGAAATAAATAAGACAGTATTGTAGATTATTAAAAAATAATTTAAAAAATAGTCATTGTTTGAATGGGGGGCTTTTATCCATTTCCAAAGTCACACAATCAATCGATAGCTGAACTGGCTTCCACACAGTCACAAAAAACAAATTAGCCTCAAAAACAAAAACGCAAAATAAACAGCAAAAACAAAAGCTCCAAACTTAATCCATTCCAGAAGTCCGTTTGATTTCCGAAATGTTCGAAAACCCAGGCGCAGCTTCTGATTGGTGCAGGTGCCACGGAAACAATAGCTGACAGCCATATCAGATGTTCAGCTTCTGAAAAACGTTTGGAAACCGGAACACTTACTTCCAGGTTTTCAGCGTTTGAGAACCAAGCGTTTGAGTACCAAGGTATTTGAGAACCAAGGTACCACTGTATTGTCTACACTGACTGGTGGTGATTCTCCAGGAATTTAGACAAGGGGACATTCCCAGCCCTGCCTGGAAATGCTGGGGATTGAACCTGGGACCTTCTGCATGTAAGCCTCTCCCACTGACCTATGACCCTTCCCCAACAGCAAGGTGCCTTATACTGAGTGACAGCCAGCGTGATATAGTGGTTAAGAGCAGTGGACTTGTAATCTGGTGAACCGGGTTCGCATCTCCGCTCCTCCACGTGCAGCTGCTGGGTGACCTTGGGCTAGTCACACTTCTCTGAAGTCTCTCAGCCTCACTCACCTCACAGAGTGTTTGTTGTGGGGGAGGAAGGGACAGGAGAATGTTAGCCACTTTGAGACACCTTAAGGGGAGTGAAAGGTGAGATATCAAGTCCAAACTCTTCTTCTTCTTCTACCCAGTTCATTATTATCTAAGGCAGCTTCCTGTTCAAGCACTGGATTCGATCCCATTCTTGATTCACATATGTTGCCTTAGTCCAAGTCAGATTACTGGTCCATCTAGCTCAGTACTGTCAACAACACCTTGGCATCAGGTCTCCAGGATTTCAGAACAAGATCTCTCTTAGAGATGTCAGGGGTTGAACCAGGGACCTTTTGCATGAAGAAGAGATGCTCCACCCATGGAGACATGGGCCTTAAGAACCCAAGAGCTTAAGAAGAGCTCTGCTAGGTCAGGCCAATGGGGCCATTGATGCCATTCTCATAGTGGGCAACCAGATGGCCATCATGGAATACCTGCAAGCAGGACCTGAGCACAAGAGCACAATCCCCTCCTGTGGTTTCCATCAACTGGTATTTAAAAGCACACCCTCCCAGGCCCCCATCATATAACCTGATGATTCACTCACTAAATGGTCAGCTGGCACCTGTTTGAACAGCTTTGAGTGGTGTGTCCTGAACCTTGCTTGCAAAATATATTTGAAAAAGAAAATTAACATTGCAAATCCCGTTGTGAAGAAAAGCAGACGTTTAAAAAACAACCCATCAAATTGCTTTGTTTCAGAATGCTTTTGCACCCTTGACTGATGCCAAGACTAGGAGCCATGCTGATGATGTCGGTCTCGTTCTTTCTTCATTGCAGGCTAGTATATACCGAGGGGGATACAGCCGTTTTGCTCCATACTAAATGACAAAACCCATAAAAACCCTTCCAATGTGGGGGGAAAAAGGAAGCTTTCCGAGGCCTGGGTATTGCAATACATGCAATAGTGCATCATTTTAGCAACTCTAAAAATAAAATAAAATAAAAAAGAGGAAAAAAATCTACATTTTTTTATCTTATACCTCAGATATTTTGTTCTGTGTATTTTAATATCGTGGGTCTTTTCATTTCCGAATGTTGCATAGTTCGATTGCTGGCTGTAGAAGGTTATTATTATTAAATTATATTATGATTAATTATGATTAATTATTCTTATTTTCATTGTCGTGGTTGAACTAGAAAGCTGCTAGAAACTAATTTAAAAATAAAATAAAATCTGTTTGGGGGCCACAATCAAGACTGCTATATCATGTAAATGAATTATATATGCTGAATATTAAGCTATCAAGATTCCTCACTTGTTTTGTAAGAGTGTTAAAGTGACATCAGGGTCCCCCCTCCCTCCTGCGCATCTAACATTTATTTTTGTTTTATAAAGGGGAGGGAAAAGAGGAGAGTTGAGACGGTGGCGATGGGGGTCCAACACGATTAAATCGTAAAGTGGGGCCGCCACTGCACCCATCGTCCCATATCAGCTGTTTTAAATTATTCACTATTTATTCAAAGCCAAAGGTTATGTTGTTAATTTTGAGGCTGGGGCGGGAGGGCGGAGAGAGGGGTGCTTTAACTGACACCTGTACATAAAATCTAATTTAATGCTGTCCAGAGGGCACCCCCTTTCTAGGCAACCCACCAAGTCAAGATCAGCTCCAAGCATAACTAGTTCTTTAGGCAAAAAAGAGAGAGAGAGAGAGAGAGAAGAGAGAGAAACAAAGAAAAGAAAAGAGGAGAAAGAGAAAATCTCTGCTAGTTAGAACATGAACAAGCTTTCTTTTTATATTTCTTCCAGTATAATAAATTATTGATATCATTGCAGACTTTTATATTATGGGAGGATTTAAAAAATAATGATAATAATGATAATAATAAAAGGTGATAAAAGCACTGTTTCTATTTTTTTTCTTTTTTTTCCAAAAAAAGAGAGAAAGTAATAAAAAAGTTAAATTCTTTGTACCGGTTTAATGGGGGTGGGGTGGGTGGGGCGGGGGGTGGGGCAGGGAAGTGTATAAAATTTACATCTGTGCAGTGGAATTATTATTATTATTATGACACACCTACGGCGCTTTAGGTTTAGACCAAGAGATAAGAGACAAAAAAACACACGTATAATCATTTTTACAGAATTTAAAATGCTGCTCATATTAAATAAATAAATAAATAAACATAAAAAAGTTTATATACGCATTTTACAAGTACTGCAACCATTGAGGAGAGAGAGAGAGAGAGAGAGAGAGAGAGAGAGAGAGAGAGAGAGATTGAAAAATAAATAAATAATAATCATGGTATTTTCATCTGCTTGGTACTTTTTGAAACATGACCGTGTCGTGTAAGCAAACTGCAATTCTTCGACATGTTCCAAGCCTGCCCCACTTCCCAACCCGAGGCTGTTGTGTTTGAAATTGGCTGGACCCAACTAAAAACAAAAACACCAGAATCATCAGATGAACAGAAGGTGGTTTGATGTCAGATACTTCCCATGTCTGATTCGCTGATGGTCTCCCCCCCCCCAAAGCACTGAAGAAACTCACGCCAAAGAGGCAGTTTCTGGCACAGCTGAAAAATTGCAGTTTGTCTGTACATCTGTTGTCCTGTTTACAAGTTAACCTAAGTTGGGGGTGTTTGTCAGGGGAAACTTCTTGTTTTTTGTATTTAAAACAAATAAAAAGCAGAAAAAAGACTGTCTTGCGACAGTTTTTTGGTTTTCTTTTTTTTTTTGTTCTTTGCTGAAGATAGTTATTATATTCTCATCTGTATGGTGCGGGCCTAAGAAAAAAGGGGGGGCGAGCACTTTATAGTTAAAAATAAATAAAAATAAAAATGATCAATTCACCGCTGTGAACCTGCCAACTCGCTATAAACAATTCTGCTTTTTAAAAAGTGTTTGTGAAATCAGGCTTTCCTCTTTGTCATCGTAATGTGCATGCGATATGATCAGTTGAACGATAAACCATCAATAAAGTTTCACAAGATTTCAAAACGAGGTTTCTGGAGCATTTATATCAGAAGATGAAATATATATATGCACATATATATATAAATATATATGTGTGTGTATGTAGATCGTCTTTGTCAAAGCCAAATGGGAGGGAGAGCCACACACAGGGGTAGAGTCAGAGAGCATAAAGGGAGGAATATGCATTTATCAATGGAAAAAATATTGGCTACTAAAAAAGAAATGTATTCCGCTAGCCAGGGAATGGACCATAACTTCTGTCATGTTGAACCCCCATGCTTTAGACCTAGATTGAAATCCTGAGAAATTCATGCACAAATCACAAATCCAATAATTCTTCTGTCCCACTGCCTCCTATCTACTCCGCTGAATCAGAAGCTGCTTTTAAAACCTGAAGGGAGTCTCCAAAGCAGTTTGAGGCTAGGAATGAGGTAGAGGAAGGGATGTATCAAAAGCAAAGGAAGTTCAGCTTAAGCACACCCCTACCCAAAAGTATTGGTGAATTCTGGTGAACACAGACAAATCTTGTGCAACTGAGAGAAGGGTGCACTCCATGTACGCCTGCCCTTTGTGGAGGGAAATTGGGAAGTCTGTGTGGGTTGGGAGCAGGATCCATAGCTCCCATATCCACAAGACCTTGCTAGATTGTGACACAATCTAGATGATCCAAACCATTGTGGCGATCCATTCTTTTCCATTCCAGCGCTTGTCAAAAGTTCCCCGTAGCTTTAGTTTAAGACTTGCTTTGCTAGAGTATAAACATTTGAGGATTGACTCCAGCTGCAATTACCCCAGCTTATTGTCCCAAACTGTGCGTGCAAAGCACCAGAATCTTCTTCCTGCCTGCCTCTAGGGCCATTTCCCCAACCTGGTGTCCCCCAGATGTTCTGGACTACAACTTCACACAACACATAGTCGAACAATGGAACTCGCTCCTACGGGAGGCAGTACAGTGGACCCTCCGGATACAAACTTAATTCATTCCAGGGGTCCGTTTGCAGCCCGAAAATTACGTAAATAGAGATGCGCTTCTGCGGATGTGCACGGTGAAACCCAGAAGTATACACCTCCGGGTTTGCCGTGGCTGTAACCCGAAGATTCCGTATCCAGAGGGATACGCAAGTAGAGATACGACTGTACTGGCCACCAACTTAGATGGCTTTAAAAAAGGACCAGACAGATTCATAGAGGAGAGGGCTATTGAAGGCTACCAGCCATGCTGGCCATGCCAGTTGCTGAAAACCACAGGAGAGGAGAGTGGTCTTGTGCTCAAATCCTGCTTGCTGGTTTTCCACAGGCATCTGGCTGGCCACCAGGAGAATAGGATGCTGGACTAGATGGGCCATTGGTCTGACCTAAGAGGCTATTCTTATGATCTTATGTTCTTAATGCCTAGCAGGCACAGCCAGCAAGGCTAATAGTCAAGGATGATGGGAGTTGGAGTCCAGCAATATCTAGAGAGCAGCAAGTTAGGAAAGGATGCTCTGTGACAGGCATAGGCAAACTCCAGCCCTCCAGATGTTTTGGGACTACAATTCCCATCATCCCTGACCACTGGTCCTGCTAGCTAGGGATGATGGGAATTGTAGTCCCAAAACATCTGGAGGGCTGGAGTTTGCCTATGCCTGCTCTGTGATAGATATGCAGCTTTCAGAAGATAATCTGTGTGCTCTTTCTCAGTTTCTGTTGAGTTCAGTGCGGCAAATTTAGGAGATGTTTTACATACACACACACACACACACACACACACAATTTCACAAAATAGTGAGGGAAATTTTTAGTGTTTAGGTTGAGAATGGCCATTCCTGGTGCGCATTTATATCTGAAATGCCAGGGAATTCACCAGATATTAGTGTTCAGAAACCAAGGGTGCTTACAGATGTAACTTGAAAAGGGACTTTCTTCACCTTGTTTTTCACCTGTGGAGGGAGCCCAGATTTCCCCACCTTCACAACAATGCATTCACCAGACATACTTATCAGCAATTTGAATGCTGAGTCTGGTTGTCTTTCTTCAGGAGAGCTGTCTGCCTTGTTTTATTTTGCTTAAATAATAAGTGCAGCATAGTTGGTGCTTGTTTAAGCAGTCATTTGTCACTTTATTTCCCCCAAAGGAAAAACCATTTTAGACCTGGAAGAAAAAAACCAACAATTTAAGAGGATGTGAGTGGTCGGGTAGGTGATGTCACACGCACTAGCCAGTCAGTGCTGTGCATACCGGCATCTACTACAAACTGGTAATACTAATTTCCTCTAAGATCAATCCTGGACAGGGAATTTGTTACTCCAGTCCTGAAGAACCCAGTGACATGACTTCTCAAACAATGCATGTCTGATGCACTCTGAAATACCTTTTTTAAAAAACAAAAATAAAGTAAAATTAGCTGTTATATAAATATTTATTTTCTTACAAAAAATCATTTTGCACACATAGATCTCCTGATGTGTGGGTGATAAGTTAGTTTGTCATTTTGATTTGAAGTAAGTGGCTGTATCACAACTTAGGGGCACTCCCCAATAAGTATCTGATGTCTAATTCTTAGAGATAATTGCAAACAGATACGGTTGCTGAATGCTGTTGGAAAATATTTTTGTGAAAACTCCTAGAACACTCCAGTCATTCATTTTATTCAAATGTATGTCTGATATAGGGAATGTTTTTTTTCCAGTTATATAAATTATTACTGATAATATGAATTTTGATTTTAAAAGAAATGATTAATACCATATGTAGAATATCGTGACTTCAAAACAGTTACAAATCTTTAAAAACCCAACAAGTGTGTATATCTGTCTTTAGAAATTAGTGTTTATATCACTACAGTGGTTTGTGAATAAAGAAAAAAATGGTTTGTAATATTAAAAATAAAAGCTTAGTCTGAAATGGTGTAAATAAATCTGTGTCCAGAGTTGTTGCTGTTGTTTTCTCTCTCTTCTTTCTTTCTTTCTTTCTTTCTTTCTTTCTTTCTTTCTTTCTTTCTTTCTTTCTGGGGGGGGGAGTTCTATAACCATTCCATTTTTAGCAAAGTTACTTAAATAACCCAAACAGAGTGCAGAGATAAAAGAAATTCCGCTAACACCATACTGAATAAATTCTGGAAACACCATACTGGGGGGGGGGGATAGGACAAAAACACCATCTAAATTGAGGGGATATAAACAGAGTTTTTGTCTTGTACATTCAACCAAACATATAGGGGAAAACTCCTTCAGAACTACACCGCCACTCAGAGCATGTGCTACCTCACCAAACATCATGTCACTCTGCCTGATTGCTAAGCAACACTTGAATCCACCTCCACTTAGCTGGTTGACTTAACAGTAACAAAATTAACCCTTAAGTTGCACACAAAATGATCTCTGTTGTTGCACCTCCAACAGTTGTTCTCTCAACCATTTCACAAATAATAAAAATTAAATACTGACCATGGAGGAGGTAAGAAGAAAAGAAAAGAAGGACAGCAGAAGAATGACTTGAGAGAGAAGCTGTATGTAGCTTAGTAGTAGAGCATCTGGTTCCTTGTCTGATTATTGATTATTAGCATCTCCAAGCAGGAAAGATCCTGGAATATATGGGTTCAGGTGGTCCCTGAGGTACCCTGGACCTAAGCTGTTCAGGGTAAATTAATACAATGCCCTGAACCTAGCTTGGTAGTAAATGGGCAGCAAGTCTTGATGCTTTAACAATGAGTTGTCGTCCAGGTGCCCCCATCAGCAATCTGGCCTTCTGATTCCACACCAGCAATCCAGCCTCAAGGTTACTAGTCTATGGATTCAGTGGTCGGGCTATCCTTGTCCAGGAGCTTAGCCAAAAGTAGGTAAGTAAAAGCAGCTTGACACTCACATGACTTGGGCCATGGGGCTCACAACACTAAGGATGGGAGAGAAATACAATTTAAAGGTAAAGGGACCCCTGACTATTAGGTCTAGTCATGACCGACTCTGGGGTTGCGGCGCTCATCTCGCTTTATTGGCCGAGGGAGCCAGTGTACAGCTTCCGGGTCATGTAGCCAGCATGACTAAGACGCGTATGGCAAACCAGAGCAGCGCACGGAAACGCCGTTTACCTTCCCGCCAGAGTGGTACCTATTTATCTACTTGCACTTTGATGTGCTTTCGAACTGCTAGGTTGGCAGGAGCAGGGACCAAGCAACGGGAGCTCACCCCGTCATGGGGATTTGAACCGCCGACCTTCTGATTGGCAAGTCCTAGGCTCTGTGGTTTAACCCACAGCGCCACCTGCGTCCCTTAAAATACAATTTAGTTCACATTTAAAGATGAACCTACCTCAATATCACTTTGTGAAATGATGTGCAGACCAAAATAGAACCAGATTTTAAAATTTGCACTTAGTTGATGGCTAGGGATACAGAAGTATTTGATCAACCTTGTTATTTTAGAAATGAAATACTAAATTTGCACTTTCTGAAACAGTATGAAGCCCAAACACAGGCATCCTTCAAAATTCACACTGCTCTGAATTTTGCAATGCAGTTCCTCGCCTAGTGAAGGGTACAAAAAATTATATACTAGGATAAATTCTGCACAGACTGCATCTATTAGTGGAAACAACATCTAAGACATTATATTAGAAGAAATAGCTTTACAAAAATGTGCCTCTTGGGCAAAATGGAGCATACAAGCATGCGTACAGTATACAAGTATAAATTCAGACTAAAATACTGATGAATTTTCACGAGGATTTTAAACAACAGCAACAACAAAAATCACAAACTGATGTGGAAATATGGAGAATTGAACTAAACATTAGAAAAACCTAACTAACTAAAACCAAAATTGAGAGATTCGCCCATCCCTATCCTCAAGTGGCTTTCTATTCCTTCTGCACCTACAGCCGGCAGTAACCTAAGTGGGGTACAAATGACAATCCCCAGTTGCCCCCTCAAGCTGCTTTGAAGGAGTGTAGGTGGACCCCTGCATCTAATGGTCAGAACTGCCAAGTTGGAATCATCAAATAGCGTAAAGGAGGACCTGGTTTGTTCTTCTGCACTTTAGCCAC